TTTACTATCTTAGTTAGTCGTGACCATGGAACCGGGTGCCGCAACTGAAAGGCACTGCAACAGTGCCCGTCACCTTAAGACATAAGCACCCTTATCTTTCAAAACCAGAATTCACTCAAAGGAAAAGTAAAGGTCAAATAACCTTTATTTCATAGGTAGTTATTAATCATTTTGATTAAACTCCGCCGCTCATTCGCAAGGCTGTCTCCCCTGAGAAGAATGAGCAGGAAACTCTTCGGGTTGCTCTTTCTAAATAAACATTTGTTCATATTTATCATTTGCTATATTTATTTCATATGTATAATAACCTATATACTTATACCTTTACTATAAAGTTTTTCTTTCACCAGAGTTTTAAACCTCGTCACATGCAAATTTTGAATATCAACCGGAATCTTATTAAAGAAACTATACATGAATTAAATGAATTTGTGACTTTGTGAAGACGAGTATCCGAACAGTCAGTTTGTTTTTTGTTCGTATTTCGACATTTTTTATTATTTTGTATGATTTTTTTACTAATTTGTAAGTCCGCAAGAGACTTGTTACAAGTGAATTAAAGGTCTCAATATCTTTGTTTTTGACTGTAGTTGTATAAGTCTGATGTATATGTCGGGAAATAGGCTTCCTTGGTTGTTTTGTAGGGGAGCATTTTCGGCTTTCGAGGACTTACATCGCCTTACGGTTGCGCAGGTTTTCGAAGGGTGTTATAATCTCTGTAATATTTTACCGTCTTCAAAATCTGTGTTCGAAAATCTAACTGTTTCTTTTTAAAAATTCATTTTGCAAAACGTACGTATCGTAAACTGGAATGTTCTTTGGTAAACAAAAAATAAGATTTTGTCCTATGATACCAAGTGACGGGACGAATAAGTCGTGCGCCTGGTGGTAAGTTACACGTCTGTTCATAACAGTTGCAGCAAAATTCAGAGCTTTAATTTGAAGAGATCTGATGGGCACTGCCACCGCGCCTGTCACCCGGAGAATATTACTGATAACCTTCAAAATTGCAACACAATAATTAGAGCATTACTGTTTGGCGGCAGAAATAGATAAAGTGGCAGTATTTCCCTGGATAAACTCTTTCATACTGAGCTCTGCTGCTGCTAAGCATGAAAGGAGTAACTGGGTAAAAACCTAAAGGACCATAATCTATAAGATTATAATACTTTAGTCCTTGTAATGAGATAACTTCATTTTTAAAATAAACAGTTTTTATATTTAATGGCTTTTTTATTTGAGATTTAAAATCAACTCTAAGTCCGAAACCGAATGTATAATCCCCGCAATCCGTGAACAGTCAACCAACATTGACTGTGCAACAAAAATCTAGGATAATATAATCGTTCACCCACTCAACACACAAGAAACTTATAAAACCTTTTTAGTTATAAAAAACAACAAAGCCTTAACAAAACTTTGAACTTACGGAACCCTAAGGAAACAATTCTGAACAAGATAAAATGTGGCAATATATCAGAGAGTTTTCTATTGAGAACAAGCTTTCTCACTTACCGCTATCGACAATCGATAGTTGCCAACTGTAACAAAGAGGATTGCAACACTACGCGCTCTGGGAGGACGCTTGGCTATAGTGATGAGACACTTTTCCCTAGTCGATGTCGAATTACTGAGATACTTATATGCAGTTACGTATATCTTCGTAATATTTTAGGTAATGCCTTAGTACCAGATGTCACCTCAAAAATAGATAATTTAAATAGAAACAATCTCAGTACGGAGTACTAAAAAAACCGACCTCAAAAGTTTGTGGAATTACATTTATTTATCAAGTTTTATTGAAATCGGTTACCGGTGTAGGAAACCGGATTCATCCCCTGGTTTGCCACCCTTTGAGGTGGAATATTTTCTTCAAATTAAAAGAGACTAATACTGAGGTACCCTCTTTCCAACAAAAGGAATCATCAAAATCGGTTCACAAGAAGTTATCACGTAACATACATGCAAAAAAAACACTCGAATAGAGAACCTACTCCTTTTTTTGAAGTCGGTTACAAATGATTTTGAATCAAATAATGTCCATAAAAGCTTTATTTAAATAATACAATAGTATAAATCTAAATTCAAATAAGGAGCGACGTGAGTGCTCCGGATAGCTACGACATGCCTACGAGTGCTACGAAATGGCTTCGAGTGTCTACATTTCTTAAATTCTTGTTGAAATACATTTATCAAGAATTTTTGATACTATTTAATACATCACAGAAAAATACACCTGATAAGCTCTTTTGCGAGACAGGTCCTGGTGAACAACATAACAGTGTATTTTTAGTTGGTTGAACGGTGATTTTTTTTAAAGTGTAGATCTTAAATGTTTCCATCCCAATGTGGTACAAACATTTTATCGTATTAAAGGAAAATAATTTGTTCGAAACATCGATATAAAAATTCCAACACCAAATCCTCATTTCTCGATATTGTGAATAACAATAACGATTGCTGTTTATCGGCGACATTTCACAGAGAAAGCCTTGCTAATAGCAAAGCTGCTTTTCAAGCTAACCACAGATTTTTCCGTTTTTTATTTAAGGCTTTTTTTATTGAAAACATTGCTTATTGTGAAAGAAATTTTCATTTATTACAGATATTTTGTGTTAACTTAGAGATGTACAGTTTGAGGTAATCTAATGAGATTGTGTATTCAAATAATAAATGTT